AATATATTGTCAGCCCTTTGGGGTTAGGGCCTATGCTTTTTATGTATCAGCCTACCGCACTCATTTATTTCAGCAGATATGAACTCCTATTATATGTCTCCTATTATAGACCGTGTTCTGTACTAGTCACTAGACTGCAAAACAAAGCAAACGGAGCTGTGTTTTGTCATTGTATAAAACACACATTAAGATGTGGTAGGGAATGTAGACATTACACAGATAACATGAGTGTGATAAGTTTTCATAAAATGACAGAACCTTAGAATGACCTAACTTAGTATGGGAAAATTAGGAGATGTCTCCCTAAAGAAATAATATTAAAGGCAAGTCCAGAAGTCAAAAGAGAGAATACAAAGTGAAATAGCAAAAAATAAAGCTTTTGAAGTTGTTACAAAGAACCAGACTTCAGAGAGTTTGGTAAGCATTATTGGGATTTGGGGGTTTTTCCATTAGCAAAGTAGGAATGACATTAGCTCTTTGTTTATATATGTACATATGTTTGTTTCTTACAACTGTTCTAACTGCACAGTGAAAAGGTGATTGTAGGATGCTGAACATAAAAATTATCTGTAACTGGCAGTCATTTAATTTTTAGGCCAAAGGTTTTCTCCCCATACAAATGAGAATAGTTATGGCAGGTGGGTTTTAATTCTGAAAGCTAAGTACTTTTTCTTTTATATACAAGAAGCATATTTATGTCTGAATTCTTTTTGAAAAACAAGGAACATAAACTTCTTCATGCCATGTGTATAGCATTGGTATAGAGCTTGAATTCTTGTTTAAAAAGAACACAAACTTCTTAATAATTGTGAATTTGATTTTTCAATCTATGCAGTTACTAGCACTTTGAAAAAATTACAAAATTGCTAGCAGCTTTGGTTTTCTTAGTTGTAAAATGAACTGTTGTTTTAAGGATGAACTGAGGGAAAGTTGGAAGTCATGATTTGGTTGGCACATATTAAATCTTAGTTGTATTTATTAGCTCTTATTCAAGCACTTTAGTTCTTAAATAACAACATAAAGATACTAAGCAACAGAAATGCATATAACCATACATTTAGACATTTTCTTAATGATGACATCCTTATTATTCAGGTGAGTAACCCAAATCTTAGGAGAAATATTTTAATTAAGGTTCATGACTAAATAAATAGAGCTGGGATTTGATTCCAGGGAGTCTGGTTCCAGAACTCAAACTCCATTGCCACCCTATGGCCTTTTTACATAACATAACTCTTTTGGAAGATCATTTCTCTATTGCATTGTCAAAAACTACAAAAACTATTGCATTTCAACTCAGTAAGAGAATTAATAAGTGACTATTACCTTGGGTGTTTTGTTAGTGGGGCTAAAAATGTTTAGTCATAAAAAGTTATTTATTGATTAGGTGATACTGAAACTTTCTCACCCAAAACTGTTTTTTAAGAGTTCTCGTTAATTAGCTAGTCCATGAACTTATTAGTCAGCTGCTACTGTACAATTAGAGAGGTAATGATTTTTCAGACTATGTATTTTTCTAGTCTGTGCTACCCGTTAAGAGGGACTTCTGCAATAATATCTAACATGACTGCATTTGAGCTCTCTGGTTACAGTAAGGACATGGTGTGTGTTCATCCTTATGTGTGGGGTTTCCTTCTCTTGGGGGATAGAGAAGGGAGAATGTAATTTGCTCTACAAAGCAGTTCGGGAGGGACTTATAAAATGGAATTATTGTGTTACATAACTCCACATTATATAACAATTATATAGTAAATGTGTTATATAAGTATATTGTGTTATATAAGTGGCATCTTTGTAAAAATGCAGTTTAGAATGGCAGTACACCTAAATTAAGTAGCCTATTTACTTCAAGTAATACTCAAAAAAAGAAATATCTAATGTTACCAAAAGGTGAGATAATTATTGAATGTTAACAGAAATTAGCCTTAATTTAAAAACAACCTGAGTAGAATTGTTTTTAAATTAAAGTAAATGTGTGGTATTATGTATGCTTAGGTTTGTAACTCATTAATACTTTTCCTAAGTTACAATATTTTCTAATGTTTCACACAAATTTTTTCAGTTTGCTTTATTCAAAATGGTGAGAAATGAACTGTCTTATCTTCACTTATTTCTTTTTATGAGATATGAGTAAAGCTTTTAAAGAAATCCACACCTGTTGTGCCAAATTCAACCAATGCCAAAGTATATAAAACAGACCTTCCTCTTTAATTCTAGTTCCAGAGTTCTTCAATAGTTTGTATATACCCTTAAACTCTTATATTGATAAAACTGCATATGTCTGCATATGTGCTTATGTAAACAACATATGCATATTAACTATAGATACATCATTTAAATTTAAATTAAATTATGTTATTCTGAAATAATGTGCATATCTTTCTAAATTAGCATATCCAAAATTAGTTAATTCCATTTATTGTTATTTTTAGGCTGTGTTAGTTTCATTTTCATGCTGATGGATTTAGATTAAATTCTTTTTTTTCTGTTAACTAAGAATTCCACAAAGCTCTATAAGTATTATTACCATTTTTATTTTCAAGATAAAATTAAGACACTGAGAGGTCAGGTAACATCTTAAATTGTATAGCAAGTAAGTGAAGGACCTGTTGGTATTAGAATCTTGGCAGTCTCGGGCCTCCCCGGTGGCGCAGTGGTTGAGCACTGGGTTGCGAAGCTGCCCGCAGCCTCTGCGGCGCCGGTTCGATCCCCGGCTGCTCCCCGGCCACTGGAGGAGGGTCCCACATGGCGCGCAGACCTCTCCTGCAGCCCGCTGCTCCCCTCAGCAGTGTACTTCGGTCCTTCTGCCTGCTCTGCTGCCCGCTCTGGCTCTGGTGAGTTCTCTCACCCTCCCGCGCTTCTGACTGTACCCAGTGCATGTATAAACAAAAACAAAACAAACAAATAAAATAAATAAATAAATAAAAAACATGCCTCTAAAAAAAAAAAGGTAGAATCTTGGCAGTCTCATATGGAATCCACAGTCTTAAGAAAATCATGCTGTTTTACTTCTGCCTATATTCTCTCTCTTTACTTAATTGTAAAAGCAAAAAAGTTAATGTAGAAAATATAATAGCAAAGCTTTCCCAAGGATAATTTAATATGCTACCTTAAACTGTAATTTATAGTTGTATACAGTATGAAAGTAGGAAGTTTAAAGCCAGTGTTTCTCAGATGTTAATGTGCATAGGTATCACTAGTGATAGAGGTTGGTGTGGGATTTTGTTCAAGTGTAGATTCCAAATCAGTATTCTGGAGTAGGACCCAGACTGTATTTCTAATGAGCACTGATGATGGTAGTACTGCAGGTCTCCTTGTAAGTATAACACAGGTTTAGGTAATTTGTACTAATTTTGGCAAATTTATTAGTTGTCAGTTTTCTTATATTTTGCTTATGCTGCCAATTTTTAAAAGTTGTTTGCCTTAAAGAAATAGGCGAGGTCTTTCTAGTAGTTTCAACTCTGTGTCTAGCATTTAACATTACTGGGTAAAATAATTTGTGACTTATGTGGTTTTAATATATAGCACTTAAATAACTATTCAGATTTGTTTGTGCTTTAAATATAGCTTAACACTGTATCATCATTTCCACTATAACATTTTCAGTGGAGGGATACCTAACATTTCTTTTTCATTTTGAAGGATATAACTTATATATAATTGAAAATGTTTCATCACTGTTATTCTATTCTTTAGTGATAATATATTGCATAGTTATAAAAACAAGTATCTGTTCAGTGCTATGTACCAAGCACTGTATCAAATGCTTAATTAACACAATCTGTTTTAATCATCACAGCCTCCCTCATTTGTTCGTTCATTAGTTCTTTGAGCACCTGCTTTGTTCCTGGAATTGTGTTCACTGGTAAACCAGATAAACCCAGAGTCTGTCTCCTAGGGCTTAGTACAGAGGGGGGTGCTGTACAGTAATCAAAGTGTCATAGCCATGTGATGGTTGTACAAGTTATTAGCTTTAACATCTGCTATTTTCTCCATTCTTTTAACCATCAATAAAAAAATTCTTTTGCCCTGTAAGTTTCTTCACCCTAGCTTCCTCCCTGCCCCACTCCAAGGAGAATTCTCTACTCCAAGGAGAATTCTTTGTCAGGTGAATTCCTGGGCTGAGTGTGATGTCAGATTGATCTAATAGGTAGACAGATCTTTAAAGGTGAGGAATTTATACAACAAAAGAAAGAACAGAGGTTAAATGATAATAATTTATAATTAAATTTTAGAGAGTTTAATACCAGAATAGACACTGTTTAAATTAATTTGAGTAAATATTTTCAGTACTTAAATGGGATTCTTTTAAAAACAGTACTTTTTATTTTTTATCAGGTGACTCTGAGTAACTCATTTCAGTAAGTTGAGTGTTTTTCTTTATAGTAGAAGGTAAAGAAAATCAGGGACTACCAAAGAAGGATAATAATTTTGGCCCTACTCTTAAGACGTAGGTACTGATAAGAAAAGGTTGAAAGATTTAGAAAATATTTTTTAAAAAGAGCTATCAGCATGTGTTACCTTAGCACTTAAGCATTTTGCTTGGTTTTCAGATGAGACTACTACTATGTATAAAACTTGCAGTTGAGTAAAAATTGTATATGAAAGTTATCCTTGAATGCAGTTTATAATCTGTTAAAAAGCAATTGTGGATGGTTAACCATACTTTTACAGGAATTTTTTTTAATGTACTATTAATCTTATTTAGTAATAGTACTGTGTTCTCTTGACTATTGATAGAAAGTTCTTTCTGGTGTTAATCAAATGTATATATCTATATGTAGATCTTTATATATTATACTACATTGTGATTTATAAAATGTTTTGTTTACCTACTATTACAATTCAGGGCTTCATAATACTGTTTTGAAGATTATCATAGGAGACTTTAATTTTGTTTCTGAATTTTACAAGTATGCAGTTTTTCTTTTAAAGGGAGAATCCAAAAACTTAGTAAATTTTATCTTGGAAATTAGTTTATCCATTATGTTTAATTTTAGGAAATGGTGCTCTTGCAGAACATTCTGAAAATGTGCATATTTCAGGAGTGTCAACGGGTAAGTCATTTTTTGTAATGTTTAAATTTCATGCATGACTTATATGGTAAATATTGAAAGCCACCTGGTTTCTTATGAAGTGATATTTAGCTATAAAAATTATTACTGCTTTTTGCAGCATGTAATAAGGAATGAAGTAACTGGAACATGGAAAAATTCCCATTAGATAAAACTGATACTTGCATGCCCATGGATTGATTATACCTTTGTAAATGGACTGCATAATTATTTTTTAATACAAACATTGAACCAAAAGAAAAGTTAGCTCAAGTTGAATAGTATCTTCTCTCCATGCAAGTTATATGAAATGAAATTTATTAAAAATGTAATTTTGAATGTTATTTCTAGCATTAGAACCTTAGAAATTAAGCATTTTGCTTGGTTTTTAGATTAGAGTACTACCACACATAAAACTTGTTCTTGAGTGAAAGTTGTACATAAATGTTTTAGTTGAGTGCACAGTTTACATGCTTCTAAAAAGCAACCCAACAATGTCCATGAAATTCAGGAACTTGAAGTAACTGCATTTTTTCCACTCACATGAGCTTTTATCACTTAATTTTTTGAAGGCCCATAAAAAGTTTTCGTTCTTAGGTCAGTTCCACAACTTTGTTACCATTTTTCTCTATCAATAATAGTAGCTGGGAGCACAAATTCTTTTACCTTTCATCTGCTAATATAGTTTCCTACTGTTACTATTTTCTAATATTTTGGTAAGTTTTATGTGGTTAAAAATAATTGCACTTAATGTATTAATCTATTGATTGATTTCTGTGTGTCATTTTGTAATTTGGTTTTTTTTTCTCATAAAGCAAAGCTGAAAGCTTCCTCTTTTGTTTTATGTCTGATTTTATATTTAGAAAGTTAGTAGATATAACAAATGCTTTAAGAGAGTAGCCAATCACAATGATAACAAGTCTGGTTTACTGGAGATATAAAGCAAGTTCCTTAGTTGCCTATGTTCATTCTTTCACAATTAGTTTCACTATTTTCATGGGCTTTCAGATGGCATATAATAATACACATCAAGTAAAAATAAGGTTATTTTAAGATGGCCTTAATTTTTTCCATTTTTCTTTCTATTTTGAATAACTAATGAGAATTGCTTGTCCAGATTGTAACTATGAATTTAAAAGATAATTTAGAAACACTTTAATTTACACAAATTGTCTGATTCACTGACTTTCCATTTTTTTTGAAAATTGAGGACTGTATTAGTCTGCTTTAGCTATTATAACAAGATACCGTAGTCTCGGTGACTTAATTTTTTTTTAAATCACTTTTCTGGAGACTAAAAGTTAAGATCAGGGTGCTGGTAGGGTTGATTTCTAGTGAGACCTCTCTTCTTGCCTTGCAGATGGCATCTTCTGTGTCTTCACGTGACCTTTCCTCTGTGTAATCAGTGAGAGAGATCTCAGCTGTCTCTTCCTTTTCTTATAAGGACTTTTGTTCTATAGGATTAAGCCCTCACCCACATGATCCCCTCCTTTCATAACAAGCATTTCAAAGATTTTTTCTTAATATAGATCATAGCAACAGATATTTACTGTATAATGTATTAAAACTGAGAAATTGTTTAAAAACATAATTCATTTGCAATTGAATTATACATGTTTACATCAATAACTTAAACTTTAATTAAAAATGTGTTTTCAAAACAATGACATAAATAGGAATAGCATGGTTTTATAATTTTACAAAGTTTTTAAAGATTGGCTTAAAAGAATTTGTTCAGTTCTTCTCACATGTATCTGCATTCAGTCTTTTGTAACATATTGCTCTGATATAAATGAAAACAGCTACACACACCACCAACATGTATTTGAAAAAAAATATTTTAATAGAGTTTTCAAATTATTATGAATATTTTTCCTTAATACAATAGCAGAACTCAAAAAAAAAAAAAATCAGAACACAATAAATAGTAGTTTCTTAAGGATTAGGTGCAAGTGAAACCCAGAACCTTATCAGTGAACTTTTTGTTCTCTGTTACATAAAATCCAGTGCCTTTCTTGTCTTTCAAATAGGTTGTTTTTTTTTTTACCATGCATCTTTTTCTAATATACCTTAGTTTGCAAAATACTGCTTTGCTGAGTTATGTGAATTTATGTAGACTATGAGAAGTCATAGAAATTTGGACACATCTAGTATTTAACTTCTGAATTTTACTTGAACTCATTGAGATTAGATCCCGCTTATTTTTATCTCTTTGCTTAAAATTAGACTTTTAGGCTCTTGAAGAGCATTGAAATTAATATGTAAAACATGTTTTGCATATTTTAATCATTTCTTTTATTTTCTACATCTGTATCTTAAACAAATTTAGAAATGTGTATTTTGCTATGACTACTATAACAAAGTATTGTAGACCAGGTGACTTAAAAAACCATAGGCCTTTTTCCCACTCACAATTCTAGAGGCTAGAAGTCCCAGATGAAAGTATTGGTAGTGTTGGTTTCTTTTAGGCCTCTCTTTTGCTTGTAGATCTTCCCCCTGTATCTTCACATGATCTTCCCTCTATGTGTAGCTGTATCATAATTTTTCTTATAAGGACACCCGTTATAGTGGATTAGGCCCAATATATGATCTCATTTTAATTACATCTTTAAATATCTTATCTCCAAATCCAGCCACAATTTGAGGAATTGAGGGTTAGGACTTTAATGTGGGAATTTTGAAGGGATGACACAGTTCAGCCCATACTAAAATGTGTTCTTTAATTAAATATATTAATGCACCAATAAAATAATTTTAGAGGTCATTGAAACCTTATTATTTTTCCTGAATGTCGGTCTTATAAAATCTTTCTTCTTTGGAAAAAGAGGAATAATATGGAATATGCTGCATTTATACCATTTAAAAAGTAAATGAATGCTTTCTCAGAAGGTGCTTTTGGATACACACATTCATTGCAGTTTTTCTTTGGTAATTATGAAACTATGAGAAATTGTAATGCTTGATATGAGTAGTGGAAGCCTTCTGAATTCCTTGCATCCCCTGCTGAAACAAGAACTCCTTCAGTGCTGCTCCTAATGGAGAACTAACCATTATAAGAATTTCTAAATATAAGACTTGCTTTCTCTTGAGACCAGCAAGCAGCAGAAGTAGTAAGGTAGCTCATTGTTTGCTGCTACCTGTTTCTTCTCTGAACATGTCAAAAGTCATCAATTAATGACTCTTAAAACCTTTTGAGAAATTGCTTTCAAAAAAGGCTTTATTAATTTATACAGCTGTCTGCAGAATTCATAGAAGAACTGAGGTGCAAGCCAGAGTTGCAGGTAGTGAGAGGATTCTCCAGAGACAGTGGGGAACAGAACAGGCAGATCTACTAAAATACAGTGCCAAGGGTAGCAGTGGGCGAGACAAGGGAGGTCTGCTGTGCCATATGTGAGTTAGCTCCCTGGCTGGGGAGGAACTCAGGAAATAACAGCCAGTAAGCTTGCATAGCATTTTACTCTTCTGTAGTACTAAAAATTGGAAAATGTAATTAACATATATTATTAGTTTTAATGCCCTTACAGGAAGAAATTGCCCTTTCATGCCCCTTTTGCTTTGCTAGCAAGGTTAAAAAATGATTTCTTACTACTAAGAAATTTTAGGGTAAAGTTGATAGTTTTGTTAAGGTTACTCTCCTCATCCTTTTCACATTGTGCTAGGATTGTATTGGAAAAGCTGTATTTTTTCCCCCTAATATCCTTCCCTTCTACTGTGTTTTTTAATATTTTTTGTCACTTTTGCCTTTTTTGTATTTGATTGTACTACCATATACTCTTGATTGTTGTTTGTTTGTTCTGGATTTTGTCATTTAAGAAGCTTGATTAGGATTTTGTCATTTAGGAAGCTTGATTAGAGCTTATGACCAAGTAAAATATTTTGGTGTTTAAAAATTTTACTTAGAATAATAGAAATAAATATATTGCTGTATTTGTTCTTAAGTATACATGCTAATTTAGAGCACTATTCATTTAATTATAATTTAGAATTCCTACTTGCTATAAAAATGTGTGATTTCTGGTGATAGGTCTGAGAGTAATGAGACAGTCCTGAGTATAAATAATAAATTAATAAAACTTTCTCTACTTGCACTGATTCTTATCTTTTAACTGGTAAGTAAAATCTTTCCTGTTTTAGGCTAGTAAATACTACTATTAGAGTGCTAGTAATTATTTCCATTTAAAAAGTTCTGTTTTCTGACTTCTTAAAAAAAAATAGAAAGAAATTTGGAGTAATCTGAGGGAATACTTGGGTCCAATTTCTGTCTCCTTCCAGCTTTGTCCATCCTCAGTGTGCTGACAGTTCTGACATTGCCATTATGACAGAACTCAGCTAAGCTTCCAGGTGTCCAGTGTCTAGACAACAAAGGCTCAAAAAATTCAAGACACTAGGTATGGACAAGAAATCAAATCAAAAAAAAAAAAAAAAAGAAAGAAAGAAATCAAATCACCTTGAAGAATACTTCCTCACTGAAGTCATTTCTTCCTATCTAGTAGAGCTTGTTTCCTGTTGAGGTTGCAGGGCTTGTTAGCCTCCTTGTACGTGATGGCCTGACAAAGGGCCATGCTTGTACTTGATTTTTCTTGCCTATTCTGGCACTCTCTTGATTACTTGCCCTTTGTTTTCAGTGGTCCATAGACTTTATATTCAGTGTGCTTGCTTTCTAAACTCCAACTATGTGTCTAACATCCAACTGTAAAAACACTGCCATCCTTCCGTAGTCACCCAGCCTTCTCGGCTTTCCCTTCTGTGTTCCGCTCTCCTTTAAAATACCTCCCTCCACCTTCACTGCGTCCCTGATTGCTGCTCATCTATCCTATGCCCTAGTCATCTTACCTGTAATTAATATACATTACTCATTATTAAAGGTGATTCTACAATGCTGTATAGTCTTATTTAATTCCAAATAATTAAGTTCTGAGATTTAATTCTGCAGTCCCTATGTAGATTTGTAGCAAGTAGGAATGAGTCTTTAGAAGCTTTAAAATTAAATATACCCTCTTTTT